GGATTAGCTGCAATGTGTAGGGCTATTTTGTTGTCATAATACAACAATGCTAGCTTTGGATGAAATATTCGTAAATCTTTCAACGAGTGATTGTAACTAAGATAACTCACAACATGTACCGATCATATCTCTATATTTAACTTCGCCGAGGATAGAGAAACGGTCTTCCGCCTTTTTTGTTTGCCAAAAAATGAGAGAAGATCCCGGAAAAACACAATAGCATGTCGTTGATTTTTGGGATATCGGGCAACCTCCCCAATCGGAATCATAGAAAGCACATAAAGATAAATCATTTTGTGAAGGGAAAAACAAACCTTGACCTAGATTATTCTTTAAATATCGTAATATACGCATGGCAATTTCCATATGATGTTTGCATGGAGCATGCATGAATCTACTCAATATGTGCACTCGAATAGGTGATAGCCGGACGAGTAAAAGTCAAGTAAATTAGGCGTCCTACAAACCGCTTGTATAGAGATGGATCTTTTAATAATTCACCTTCATCCGATAGCTTTATATTTTGTTCCATGGGAAAATCCATGGGTTTAGCTCCCAAATATCTCGCCATCTTTCAAAATTTCGAAGGTGTATTTCCTTTGTGAAATGAAAATACCTTTCTTTGACCGCGAGACCTCCATACCCAAAAAATACTTTAAGTTGCCCAAATCTTTAATCCGAAAATGATTATGCAAAAATTGTTTAAGACCGAGTTATGGCGACAGGATCATTACCGGTTATAAGAATGTCATCGACATAGATCAATAAAGATGTAAATGATTTGCCTTTCCCATATGTAAACAATGAGTAAACGAGTTTTGGATCGAATAAATCTAGCATCTTGAATAGCGAGTAGAGAACTTAGCAAACCATTGACGAGAGGTTTGTTTTAATCCATATAAGGACTTATTGAGGCGACACGCAAGATTCTCTCCCTGTCACTAAAAACCGGGAGGAAGAGACATATAGATTTCTTCGGAAAGATCACCATAAAGAAAAGCATTATGGACATCAAGTTGATAAAGATATCAATTTTGAGCGACTACCAAAGCTAATAAGCAACGTATCGTAACCATTTTAGCAATGGGTGAAAAAGTGTCATGATAATCGATACCTTCGAGTTGTGTATAACCTTTTACAACTAGTGTGCTTTATAACATTCAAGAGAACCATCCGATTTGCACTTGATTTTGTACACCCAACGACAAGCAATAACCTATTTGCCGGGAGACCAAGTATTGTTGGCCTCTAAAGCAGCCTAACTCAAATTGTATTGCCTCTTGCCGGTGAGGTTAAGAAGCAACTTGATTATAACATATAGGCTCAACATCATTAGTAACGATAGCAATATATGAACGATGTTGTGGTGAGTAACAATTATAAGAGATAAAATTACGTAAAGTATACCGTGTACCTTTATGTGGAAAAGATGATGAGGGTGATAATGATTCGGGAGATGTCACTTGATTGTAAATATAGTCACGAAAAGCTGCAAAAGGAATATAAGGTCATTGAGAATGACGTAAGGGGTTCGTTGGTGGTGAAATAGCGAGTGGTAGGGATGTGTTCCACGGATGTTGGCTGGATGGATGAAGGAGTCTCCGAAACAATAGGATCTATGATATCAATAGGTGTGACGAGTCGATGGTAGGTGGGGAAGGGGTAATGGATTCATAGGGAAAGATATCCTCATAGAAAATAACATCACGGCTAGTGAAGACTTGGTGAGTTTCAATATCATATAATTTGTAAGCTTTCTATCCAACAAGATAACCAAGAAAAACATAATGTGTGGCACGAGGAGCAAACTTATGAGAAACATGAACATTGGTAGCATATGCAAGACATCCAAAGACTCTAAGGAGAGAATAAGAAGGAATATTACCATAAAGTTGCTCAAAAGGACTTTGGCGAGAAAGTATAAGTGTGGGTAACCTATTAATTATATGGATAGCAGTGGAGACACATTCTACCCAAAAGTGTAAAGGAAGATGAGCTTGAAAACTAAGAGCTCTTGCCGACTTAAGGATATGTCTATGTTTGTGCTCTATAACCCCATTTTGTTGAGGTGTGTAAGTGCAAGAATGTTGGTAGACAATGCCTTATTGTTTAAAAAAATCTTGCATACAAGAAAATTCCATTCCATTATCAATCCGAATATTTTCTATATTAGTATTAAATTGGGTTTTCACAAAAGAGAAAAAAATTTATAAGGAGATGTCTCATTTCACTTTTATGATGCATGAAAAAAATCTAAGTAAAATGAGAATAGTCATCCACAATAGTAAAAAAACATTTAGCACTAGAAAGAGAAGGAATTTTATATGGTCCCCAAATATCACAATGGATTAATTCAAAAGGATTAATAGAAGAAATTGAACTAATTGAAAAAGGAAACCTTGTCCGTTTGGCAAAAGCACGGACATCACAAGTATTATTTGACTTTGAAGGAAAATTTAACAAAAGTTTTTGCCATGAAATCTAATCTAGAAGAGGATAAGTGCCCTAGTTGTCGATGCCACAAGGTTGTAGAAGTGTTTTAAGAAGAAGAAGGTTTGATGGTATGGGTCGCTGCAGATTGAATAGGATGGTGTGAATTATTTATTGCCATTGTAACCAAGTAATAGAGTTCGTCTCGTTGTTTACCCAAACCAATCATCGTCAAATCCTACAAAATACACCAATAAGAAAAGAATGTTACCGACCAATTTAAATCTCTTGTGACTCGAATCACGTACATCAAATCCATTTTGCAAGATGGCACCCCAAGCGCATTTTTTAAATAGATAATCGAACTCAAAGGTAAACTTCCGATGGAGATAATTGGAGCCCGGTCTCCATTTGGCATAATAACCGGTGGTAAAGAAGTGTTTTCTTTATCGTTGACAAGCAAAGCTAAAGAGGAAGTAATGTGATATGTTGCACCGCTATCGATTATTAGTTCGGGTGGTGATAAATCCGAAGAAGCATTAGCATTGTTTGCCTTAGGAGGAGTCGATGAAGATGGCTCGTTACCTTGCATAACGTACAATATTTGTTATAGATGTAATTCAATCAATCCATTCATAATGGATTGAATCTGCAACATCATTGAAGCTTCTCGACATTGTTAACTAAAGATTGAGTATTGCCGTTGTGCTCGGAATGAGTGTTCTTGGGCGATGTATGCTTGGGATGTCCAAGTGGATAACCATGTAACTTTCAGCATGTCTCTTATATGATGATCTCTCGTCACAAGTAAGAACAATGCAGCAACTTGCAATTAGATGAATTAGGACGAGAAGAAGACAAACCGGATTTATGTCGAACAACAAGGGCTATTGGTTCATCTTTGCAAACAAGCAATGGCTGAAACCTCTATTGTCTCACGTGCTCGTACCCAAATTTCGTTGCTTTTCTTCTTGGATAATGGAAGAATAAGCCCGTGCAACATCGAGTAAAGGATTCATTAAAAGGAGTTGACCACGAACGACACTATAAAACTCATTCAAACCCATAAGAAATTGCATCAATTTGCGCCTTTGATTATCTACTCCACGAGTGCAAACAACATCATTATAAAAGCCTAACTCATCCCATGGTTTTTTTAACTTCATGTAATAAGCCGCAAAAGGCATCCGCTCTTGAGCCGGATAAGCAATATCTCTCTCAATCTGAAAAATCTGTGGTGCATTGTTTTGAGAAAAACGATTTCGAAGATCTTCCTAAACTTTATGGGTAGTGTTATAGAAAATAACACTATCCGCAATATCGGGCGTTAAAGAATTAAGTATCCAAGATAATACCATATCGTTGCATTTTTTCCATGCCACATAGTCTTCCGGTTTGATTGTGGCGGATGGTGCCTTGAGATTTCCATCAACAAAACCCAATTTGGATTTTGCATTTAAAGAGATGACCATGGCTCTTCGCCAAGTTAAATAGTTGTCTCCATCAAGAGATTTGGAAATAAGAATCATTCCGGGATGATTAAAATGATTAAAAGAATAAGGATTGCTGGAATCTGGTTTATTTCCATCATTAGCCATGATGGTGAGAAGCAAATATAAGGCACATAAAAAAAAAAAAAGAAGCAGAGGTATCATTACCGCTCCGATACCATGTAAAGGAGGAAGATGAAAAAAATATATTCTCGCTTGTTATTCGGTGAAAACATAAACAACTATATATACATAGAGAATTTCTATAATTGAGCTATTCTAATATAGGCAATTACAATATTTTCTCAATGAATCTCGAGATACAATTAAATTTCCTAACAAAACCATTTTCGATAATCAATATAAAGGTGCATAAGCAAATAAAACTATAGCAGAATTAAAAAAAAAATTACTTGAAGGTTGGTGTGTCGGTGTACTTTGCCTCATATGACACCGAAAAGAATGTACCTTTCTCATTACTTGTAACCATGATAACCCAATTTGGATTTTGCATTTAAAGAGATGACCATGGCTCTTCACCAAGTTAAATAGTTGTCTCCATCAAGAGATTTGGAAATAAGAATCATTCCGGGATGATTAAAATGATTAAAGAATAAGGATTGCTAGAATCTGGTTTATTTCCATCATTAGCCATGATGGCGAGAAGCAAATATAAGGCACATAAAAAAAAAGCAGGTATCATTACCGCTCCGATACCATGTAAATGAGGAAGATGAAAAAAATATATTCTCGCTTGTTATTCAGGTGAAAACAAAAACAACTATATATACATAGAGAATTTCTATAATTGAGCTATTCTAATATAGGCAATTACAATATTTTCTCAATGAATCTCGGGATACAATTAAATTTCCTAACAAAACCATTTTCGGTAATCAATATAAAGATGCATAAGCAAATAAAACTATAGCAGAATTAAAAAAAAAATTACTTGAAGGTTGGTGTGTCGGTGTACTTTGCCTCATATGATACCGAAAAGAATGTACCTTTCTCATTACTTGTAACCATGATATGATACCGAAAACAATGTACCTTTCTCATGACTTGTAACCATGATAATTACTCATGCAAGTGTAGCCCTAAATGTAGGAAAAAGCTTGAAAATTCCTTCAAGATAATATTTCTTGAAGTTGCTGTTGCTGAAATTCCTTCAAAAATATATATTTAAATAATCAATTAATTTCATTAGTCATATATATATATATATATATATATATATATATATATATATATATAATTTCAATCAATTAACTTAGTTTTTCATCAAATATTTAAAAGTTTTACTAGAAGTCCACTTTATAAGATGTCTTTTCATTTCATTTTTTTCCAATATGGAATAAAAATCTCAATTAAAAACACTTTCAAATTTCCTTCACAATACATTTAACTTATTATTTAACATATCCAAGATTTCTAACACCAAAGGCAATAAGCCTTAGCAGGAGGCTCAATAGCCTCTTGAGTTTGACCATTGATGCTAACTTGAAAGTTTGAGTATACTAGAAGTATTGAAAGTTGTGACTGTAAACAAGGTTGGAATATAAATCAGAATTGGTGAAGGCAGACAGGAAAATATGTTTCTTTATAGAGTTGTTAGCTTAGAAAGCAGATACGAAGGACGGTGGTGACTCGTGCAGTAGTTTTGGTGCTTTCTTGTGCATTGTTAGTTGAATTTCTCATCTATCACCAACACCGTCCAGTAAGAGTTTTTCTACTTTTTCTACTATGCGCACTTTAAGGGTATGCAACGTATGGCTCATGGGGTTAGTTTTTCTCGATACGGATGAATTTTCAGCCTATGCATATGTTTAAGAGAGGAAGAAAGTATTCACATTGGATTCTGTCCCCATCCAAGCTTAGGTAGCCAGTAATCTATCATTTCATCACTTGTTAAATGGTCTATGTATGAACATGATGCACGTAGTAGCTTTAAATAAGTATGGCTATTTCGTTTTGACCAACTAATAGCAATATAATATTTCCCAACGTTTTCCCCTATACATATTTCCTTAATGCAGTACCAATTAAATGGGCCACGTGGTTTCTAATGTTTTAACAAAAGTCATACCAGTAGATTTTAAAAGCTAATCTATTAGAATTAAACTACTATAATTGAATTACAAATTTTTTGGTATCATCCAGATAGTTGTGTAGTAACAATTTGACTAGGCTTCCTGATCAATTAAATCCAATTTAATATTTATTTTTTTTATATAAAAAAAACTGGTCAATTAATTCCGAATGCCAGTGCTACTATGTGTATATTTTTTTCCCCCATAAATATAAATAATTTTCACAGTTACAGAAAATGCAAGCTAAGAACTTCCAACTTAAAACAAAAACAAAGACTATTCTTACACACAAAACCTTTTAAAAGATGACCATTGTCTCAATATATGCACTTAACGAGTCAATGGGCATGGAATTTATTTACCATCTTTAGGCTTAAGCTCAATTCCTTCAATAACGATGCCATGTTTAGGGTTGTGATTATCAACCTCTAATACAATAAAAACAATATTCTCATCCCCTTCCTTCTCACTGTAAAACTCACCCATTTCAATCTCCATCCACCCATATTCTCTCTCCAGAGGCCATCGAGGCATGTTTGCTGGAGGATCTAGCAATACGCTACGTATTACACCAATTTCACTTCCTCCCAAATGGACACCCAATTTGACCGGTCTCCTATCAAAACCATGTCTGAAATTGGGAAACTTGAACACAAGGTAAGCTGCATAGGTTGTTTTCGGAGACAAATCTTTAGCCTCTATCCGCCACTTGATATCAAGCCACCATACCACCCTGAGCACAGCCACCTCAGAGAACCTATAAATATTGGATCATAGATCAAAAGACAATACAAGAGTATTTTATTAGACAAGTCAATCAAAAAAATACAAGGACTTGTCAAAGGATTTAAGCACTTAATTATTTCCCTCTTTTTGATTCAATATTAAAGTTTGTTCAAAAATTTGTTGGCGGTGGAACTTAATAAATTTCGAGAACAAACCTGGACTCAGGCAAGTGCATCCATGTCCAATAGAGAGGTGCTTCTGCCCAGAAAATTGAAAGCCCTCTAGCTCCTATATTGTAACATCTTTTTCCGCTATGCTTCTCCAGGGCTAAGCTCTGTTTTAAAGTAATTAAAAGCAGCATATTGATAAAAGATTGGGGAACAAAGAAGAAATTAAAAAGAATAACTTGAGTGTCTCTCCTTTTTTCTTCTTTTTTTCTTTTGTGCATTTTGTCTCTAAATTACTGTACGTATATTTGATTAAGAAAAAAATCAAATTTATTTTCCCAGAATCAGTCAAGAACGATTATAGTTATTATAGATTTGAACATACTAATTGTTAGAATGTATATCCCATATTAAATAGTTAAATCAATAATAAATAATATATAAAGTTAAAAAGTAGTCAACCACTACAAGAATTAAGTTTTTTAAATGAAACATAATCTCAACCGTCTAACTTTATACTAATGAAAATAGAAGAATTTTTCTTAACATAGTACCATTATTGATGATGATGGCGCTACGGCAAAGATGAAGATAAAGGTCCTTCTTGGATAAAGAGGTTAGCTGTGACGAAGCTGTAGCAGTAGTACTCGATATGATTTCAAGGTGATTAGAAGGCAGAAATCTCTCCCAAATAACATCAGACTCTGCAAGGGATTGGAAGAAATGAGAAACTGGTGAAAATCTGCAAGCATCCCGTGGTGATGTTAAGGAGATGATAAGAGCTATACATTCTTCCGGCAAGACTTTGGTGACATCCATCTTTTTCTTTCGTTTTTTCTTTTCTGCAATACTTATGTGGGTGTGATGGGACTTGGGAGGGATATACAGGATGGACTCCTACTGTATAAGCTGTGAAAAAAAAAAAAAAAAAAAACAGTTATTTCATCTCAGAAATAGTATTACGTACAGAACCATAAAGTTTAACTTCTCCTGACAAATATAATTCTAGTATTCGAACTTTATGCATTAATACCGAAAAATTCGTTACTTTCTTTAAAAGAACTTCATATGCAAGTTCAGATTACGGAAAGCTGGCCTAATCTCCTCTGACGATGAGCTGGTTTTGGACCTGTATAGTCTCGTCTGGTGTCGCATTTTTTTCATCAGGTTTTGGCTTTGCGTGTTATGGAAACTTGAGCTTTTAAAGTAGGCCCCTACTTAGGAAAGCCGTTATTTTCATTGGTATAAAAGGTTTCGAATAACTCAAACGATGATACAACGAATCTTGAAGTGCTTTTCTTCTTGAAGAAACAACAACAGGAATTCATTTCATTAATTTGGAAAAATTGGATACAAATGTGGAAAGGCCTTCACCCCTAGTGGGTAAAGAAAAAGAGGTGGAGAGTAGAGAGCCACTCTCCATGAGAAGGAAGAAGAAGAAGAGATGCGGATTGAGAGCCTCAAATAGAAAGGTAGGTGAGGAAAGAGGATCTAAAGCCTCAGATTTACTCCACTAGGAAGAGAAGCAAACCATATCGAGGACTAACTTCAGAACAAATGACTGTACGTGCCTTGGAGAAGAAGACCGATTTTGTAGTGTTAATGGACGAAGAGACGAGTCATGTAGTGCTAATGGACTACAATCATCGTAAACATCAGTACATAAATTTTTGTACTTTTAAGACTACATACAAGGAGGAGAGAGAGGAAGGGGAAAATAAAAATAAAAACATATTCGTGAAATCAGATGGAAATACTCAAATTATTTTTTTATGAAATCCAATTATAATTCGTTCTTTCCTCTTTGGATCAGTCATTTGTCTCAAATGTAATCCATAAACTAGTTAAGAATTATTCTTAGACTAATGTAATTCTTTTGATCAATATGCCGAAATATCTAAAGTCTACTAAATAACAACTTAGATAAACAAGTGTCACATTAATGAATATATTAATTTTATAGTTAACATGGCAGTCAACTTACCAATCTATCATATTAATGTGTTTAATTATATAATAATCGATATGTTGTTATGGAACTATTTAATTTAAAAATTAGTAGATTTAATCTCAATCTAAACGTATTTTATTACGTATAAATATATATAAAAAAAATTGATATGTTATTTTACCGACTACTAAATTAACACGTAATAATGAAGATCTGCTGACATATTGTATTGTGGTACTCGAATAAATTATTAATCACATATAAAAATACCTTAGATTAATGTATATTAATAAGAAAACATGTGTGCAAATTTGTGATATCTTATATGTTGACAAAATTAATTCGTAACTATTCATGATCGTTAAAAAACATAACTAATTATTTATTAAAAAAACAAAACAAAACAAAATGTAACTCATTCGTATGAATTATAAAGATCTTTCTTTTTTTTTCTTTTTTAAGAATACTACACCCATCAAAGTTAACTGCGGCTATAGACAAATTCAAGAGCAATAGCCCTTGCCGCCCTTGCCCGCCAGAGACGCTGCAGATGAAAACCTCGAGTTGTAGGCGTAAGGCAGACAAATTTGCATACGAAGTGAAACCAAAAAAGAAAATAAAACTTTGTAAGAATCCTAATAGTTTGCCCCTTCGCACGGATAAGCCGGCAGTTTTTTTTAACATTAACTGTCGACTCTATTTTTGGGCATTTGCTAAATGAATTTCATTTCAAGTTCAAATATCTGAAAAAAACGTTTACAGTTATTTGGGCCAGCCACAGAAACTGATTTGGATTAAACCTGGACCCATGTTGATAGGCTCGTCTAATTTACCTGATGTGGGCTTCTTCTTTATTTTACAGTTTTTAGTTTTGGGCTTATTCTCACCTCTCGGTTACTAGGCTTGTACTGATATCGGGCTCAGCCTTCTTGATATGCAATGGAGTTCTGTTTGATTAAAGAAAAAAACTTAAAAGTGAATTTTTATTTTTTTTCGCCGCTAAATCCTGGAGAATTCATTTGTGACTTTGCTGTGGAGAACATGAAACAAGTGTGTTACGGCCAAATTTGGAGCAATTCCAAAAAGCCCAACTAATGGATTTTGCTTGAAAACCTGTTAACCAGATCAGGAGTTGATTTGTTGGGATGAGAGTTATATTAATTATAACTCTTTGAAAATAGGCTTTCAGCTGACAAAGCGAGATGATCTTTTTAGACGGACTAGGAGAAGTCGACAGCATTCCAACGATCAAGATAGAGTGGCAGTCAACAAAGATCACTGCAAAGAACGCAAAGCATTGTAAAGAGATTAAAAGACTCTAAATACCAGCTGCTGTAGAATAAGAAAAATAACACATTAATACAAAAATAATTGAATTTGGAAATTGCAAATGACTCTCTAAACACTTGTTTAGGCAGAAATAAATAGAAAATGATATTGTAGACTCGTAGATTTATAGGTTGGTAGATTAGTTATTTGGTTCACATTTTCTAATCAAATTCATGTCTGTATTCTCCAAACATCAAATTCATGCATGAACATCATGTCTGGAAAAAAAATCTTAGTTCGTAAGCAACAGTTTTTATCAATGAATGTGTGAGGAAGTGAGAAGGAAGGAAAAACAGAGAGACTGAGGAAGAAGAAGCTCTGTGTCTCTGAGCTCTGAAAAAATCCCAAATTGAATCTTGTTACACTGTTTCCTATCCGTTGCACACAAAACATGTGAGGTGGGTTTTATATTTGAATTAGTTACAAGTAAAACTAACTCTAACGGCTAACTAACCACTTAACAAATCAACTTGCCTAACTGACCTTCATTAACCCGATATTTACAAGTATGCCATTCTTCATATATTTCAACAGAATGTAAGTTTTTTTTTATATGTTGTGTGTTGTTAAAGTCCGCGATCTTACTTTTATTACTTACTTGTTGCTTGATTTCATAATTAGTAGTACAAACTAAAATTTGATTACAATAAAGTTTATAAAATATAAATTACTAACTTAGAGTGATCGCTATTGTGAATAATTAATTTATCACTCGTGTCCCAATTTGTCTAAATACATAATTTGAGTGTGCATGATAAATTTTTAAGTTGTTTAATTTGGTTTTATAAAAGATAAAATATAAAAAATGTAACCAGAGTAAATATTCTAATATATTAAATGGTTAATTCAATTCATTAAAACTCGAGTCTATACCTTAGATTACTTTGCAAACCACTATTGAACCAATATTTTTCACTCTTTTATCACAAAATCCTAGAAATTGAGGCAAATATAAAATAACCCCAACAAAATGTCATGTTTAAAAACGGATCACGAGGAAATAATTCCAACAAACAAATCTTACTACAAACTCTAGTTTTGAATCAAGTAAACCAAGCTCAATAAAAAAGGGTTGTGTTTGTAAAACACAATGATCAATGTAACAATATGAACTTGTGTTGATTTGACTATGAATTTTATCTCACGCATATTTTGAGGCTTAAACTCAATTCCTTCAATGACAAGGTCCCGTTTATTGTGTAATTATCAACCTCAAATGCACTATTAAATGAAATGTCATTTAGATAATATTCAGAACTGACTTTATTAATAAGATGTCATACAAGCAAATAAATTGGAAAATTTTTTTCTCCAAAACCTATATGAAAATTAGATATTGTTGTTGCTTTAGGAGGATCATGAACAACCTAGCTCTTTTTATTTCATCAAAAGTACTCGTAATTAGGTTGCTCATAACATAGCACAAAAAGCTTCGATTGATAATCTTTCTGATACTTGTATTGATGATGTTTTTGTAAATTGGCTATGAAATCATTTGAAAGAGACTAAATAATCTCTCTTCAACAATACTGATCAATTTTTGACAAACACACACATATATTCTTCATATTTACTTTCTGATGTAACGCCTCATCAATGACATCAAGCCTAGCTATATGTTATTTTAGATGTCAGTGTACATATCACAATGTAACAAAAGCATCAACATTTGTTTAATAAACACCTATTTAAATACCTTATTGTCCAAGATAAAAAAAATCAAACACCTGTTTGATAAAATTAAATATCAAAAACTCAATCACAAAAATTATATAAGTTTAGGCATTCAAAATAGTTTTATCTCAAAAAACCTAAACAGAGAGAAGTCATTCCAAACAACATTTCCATTTAAAAAAAAAAAAAAAAACACTCACAATTTTTAGATTTAGACTTACTCCAAGCATCCGTTCCTCAACGCAGCATTTCAAAAACAAACATGGTCTAACGGTCACGTGTCCAATAACTTCACTTAACAAAGCAGGTTTGAGTTTAAATAATTTCAGTTATTTAATTATTTTATAATAAAAGAGGATTAATCCACATTGTATAGTCCAACGTTCACAAACCTTCCCATGACAAGAATATATATATATATATATATATATATATATATATATATAATATTTCAAATGTGAATGGTTTATTCACGTAAATATTAGATTTTAGTACAACAAAACAAACTGATTAGAGAATAATAAAAAGAAGAAGAACCAAAGAGGCAATGACTGGTGTAATGACAAGTGATTAGTGACGGTGAAAAATAACTTCAAAGGGCTGCGAAAAATGATCTAATCTTTTTATAGGAGGAAGGGTTAAGAGGGTTTACTTATTTCTTTGAATTTTTAGGTTCAAACTCTGGAGTTAGAGTTTATTAAATTCTTATCATCGAATAAAAAAATAAAAACAATGGTAAAAAATCTAGAATAAATTATAAAGTAGTCCCTTTTGTTTTGAAAACAAATTAATTAGTCTCTATCGTTTAAAAAATTAATTATTTTGTCTATATGTTTTTAATCTACTTTTAATTTAATTCTTTTTACTTCTTTTTAATTTATTTTAATTTTTTATTTTAAGAAATAGAAAAAAAATACGAAAAAAATATATAAGAAAATAAGATATTTTATGAAATAAAAAAAATATTCAATTAAATGTGGTTAATACTTGTCAAGAGACTGAATAATGGTTTTTAAAAGGAGTAGGACTAAGGATTTCATTTCTTAAAACTAAAAATGCTAATTTATAATTTACTCCAAAAATCCGAGATGGAGACCTAAGAAAAAAAAAACACACGCACACGGCCATTTCCGCGCAAAACGAACAAACAATTCATTTTCCCAAAAGATTTAAAATTCTACCGCCAAAAAAAAAAAAAAAAAAAGTAGGACTATCAAACAAAAAATATTACACTTAGATGAATTTTTTTCGAAAGGAAAGCGAAAAAAAGTAGAAATGCATTCAAAGCAAAATCAAATTAGAGTTCTGGGTCAACGATCAATCCCTTCATCTTTCATCTCTCGCTCTTCAAATCCGTAAGCAAACGACCACTAACTTCACATCTATTTCTTTTATATTATTATTTGTTGCTTAATTTTTTTTAACGGAAGATTTATGCACCAATTAGTGCTAAAGATTATGGGTTTTTTTTTTGTCAGTGCTAGAGACTCTAAACAAGATGGGCAAAAGGAAGATTCAAAGAAGAAGTCTTGCGTTTCCTTTACGGATTTCCTTGACAAGAAGTTGCACAAAAATACTGTGCTACCCAAAATATTAAAGGTATTTAATTAATTGTTCAGTTGCTGCTGTTTGGCTGCAGAGAAAATTGGGGAAATGTGAAATAGAATAAGACTTATTGGGTTTTGTTTTTAGTTGTTTGCTTGTTATTTTTTTTTCAAGAAGATGTGAAATTTCTATTGATATGAAGCCTAATATGGCTGTTGTTCTATTGGTGACTTTTGATGAAGGGTTTAGATTTGTGTTTTAAGTCACTATAAATTTGATGGTTAGATCCTCTGTTCTTAAATTTCTCGGAGACCGAACAGAAGTAGCTTCTTTAATTGGTTTTTTTGTTTTTCTTTTTTCTATTAAGATTGTAAATAATGGAAAAGGTATTAAACATGCATTGATTTCATTTTATCTTAATTAATGGCAAAGACTTGATTTGTTCGAATTTACTATGTGGGGGTTCTGAGGAAAATGTTCTGATCTTTTTACAGGGGAAATCAAGGCCTTTTTGGTCGCCATTAGGTCCTAGCAATGTTGGTGGACCTACTGATCACCAAATTGGGGTTCAAAAAGAAGAGCAAGAAAAGAGTTCCGTTCTTGATCAATTGGTTTTTGAGCAGTTTAAGCCTACTGGTGCAGAAAAAGGAGATGATCTAGTTTCAATTGGTGACGGTGAAAGAGGTGATGGCATGGGTCCATTTGGTGCAAAAGTAATTTCTAGCTCTTCATTTCTTATAGGTTCATCTGGTGATGGTGGAAAAGGAACCTCCACCACTTCATTTGGTATAGGTTCAAGTCATGTTGGTGAAGTAGGAACTTCCGCGGTAAACGATTCCAGAAAAAGGAGGAACCCGTTTCGAGGTATGTCATATCCTAAATAGTAAGTTCAAACTGTTTATTTCACTTAATTTGTTTTGCTTCTGGCCATTCCTAATTGTTGCTCGCTCAAGTATGTGGGTGATTTTAGCTGGCCTATTGCTTAATCCCTGCCCCAAAAAATGAGAACACAAATTTTCAACATATTTCCTTCTTGTTTTTTTTTTTTTTCACGAGGTATTCCAGTAAAATCAATTACACTGTAAGGAATCTTTTGTGGTTTACATTACATGGTCGATTGAAAAAATTAGGAAAACCTGGGAAGCTACAGTAATTGGGATTCTGAAATTTTTTGTAAGAGTTCCGTGATACATAATGCATAGAATAAAGCATGTCCATGTCTTGAACATGATTTATATTTTCCAATCTAAATGCATCTCTATAGTCTATTTGACGTCGATGTGGGTCTAATTGCCAGATCTATCTATGCCATAAACCAGGATAATGGAGAGTGACTGATTTGTAAAATTTTCAAATTGTTGGGAATAGTTGTTCTCTTTGAAAACACTAACTCATAGTTGATAGTTCATAATACATGAAGATTTCAGAGCAGAGAGTGTCAGAAAATGTAATGGAGTGCACATTTCAATAGAGCCGATCTGGGGAGAGATTGGAGGAAATGGAATAAGCATGGAAAATCGAAAACCAGAGATACCAACATTTAGGAATCATCTGTTCGGTTCTTAATTCTTTTTGCAAAAATCAAATTTGATTGGCAAGTTCAAGTGTCACTTTCATTGACAATGAACCTTTTTATTCTTACAGCTTTTTGTTTATGGTTTATGAATTTGACTTCTGTTATATCTGGCTTGCAAGGTGGTGGCCGAAAATGTACTGCACGAAGGCAATCGTCAGTTCTGGGAGGTCGTCCAAATCCCAATCAAAAAGGAAGAAAAGAGAGCTTCACAGGCAACAAAAAACAAAGGCCTCTCTACAATCATTGTTAGTATGCTTTTTGCTCGAAGACATAAAAATATTTTTCTAGCAAGGACTCTTTGGAGCCTTCTTTTCTGTTGAAATTATATGCATTCTTTTGTACTTACTAAGAGCTAGTGGCTCTCTTACTGTTGACAGACGCAAACGGTTCTGGCTGGTGGGACTGTGACATGGAAGGTGTCGACTCAGAGGAAGTAGGCTTTGGTGAAATATGGGAAGGGGTAGGCTCCACCACATTTGGAGGAATAGAGTGGCATTAATTTGTTGGTCTGTGATGTTATGTTCACTTACTGGAGAATGCCTGCTCCGAATGTTTGTAGTGATTTTCGGATTAACCCATCTCAAGCAAATTGTTCTACAACGCATGCAAATCAGGACGTCTGAAAAATTAGCATTCGCCCTCCTACCATCATCCTAATGGCACCCCAATGATCCCTCTGCTTCTCAAAATGCTTTTGTATTTAGTTAACTTTAAAGGGCTTAATTTGAAGTTCATTATCCCTGTCCATGATTTGAGAAGATAATGCTCCATGACGAGAAATTCGGTGTTTGTTATATATTCAAATTTCTGCAGATTCCGTGCTGTGCAATTTGGAAGTCATCTCTTGGACATGAGATAGCCCTCTCTGCATCCTGGGTTGTCCTGACTTAATATAATGTCAGTATGGGAGAGTTCAGACAGGTTATACCACTAACACTATGAAGCTTCAATGCGTTTTCTTTTTATTAAGTTGTGGTAGCTAGCCTATATATGCAATCCATGAAGAGGTCAGCCTTATTGACATAACGTGGTAGAATTACCAGAGAATTTATGCATGACTCTTGGTGGATTAAATTTTATCTGCTGAACGAATGATCTATAGGGGTCTACGTCATATATCCTCAGGAGACTGGAATTCTGAAGTTAATTTTGGCAGTGGAACTCTCCAGCTGCTGGATAGATTGACAGATTGATATCTGGATGTGACAGTACAAGCATACAATGCCATGTTTCGATAAGAACTCAGAACTTATTATTTTAAAAATGACATCTGGTTGAAACATTGCGTCTTGTCCTAGAATATAGATTGAATGGAATCTTACTTTCATTTCCACGCATCATTAGTGGAAGAATTTCATTTAATGATTATGCCAAAGAAAAGCAGAATGTGAGCATCAGGCTTCAGAAGGAATCTGCGGCTCCCTCTCTCTATATACCTTTCATCTATTAGCCTCCAAGTTATTCAACATCAAGTGATTTTCCTTTCTTCTATTAGCCGCTTCATAAAAGGCGAAGCTGGCGTATTTGGATTCCCGTAAGAGTGACATCATACACACCCCAAAGTAGTTCAAGGTTCAGGATTGATACAGATTTCGTTACCAATTATGTAAAAAGGTTGCATGTTATAATGGCGAAATGGTGCATCAATGAAAATCTTCATTTTGAAGCCTAATTAGAGTAGTTCATGATGATTTGACGCTGCTTCAGTTTTTGGGCTAATGGGTTAGCTAATACGCACCCAATCAGTAGTTACCTAGCCATTTTCAAGTAGGTAATGTGTAATTTTAAGGAATCTCTTGTGATATGCAAACGTGTTTTGAATGAGAGTACTGGATGCCAAAGACCAAAGTCGTAACGAAAGTACACATGCGACCACTAAAGAATAGATCTCCAATATTCTTGTCGGCATTATTTTTGGGATTCGTTCAGGGAATTCTGATATAATCATTGCACTTATATATGCTTATTCTTCTACAGCAACCACACATAACCAGCTGTTCCCCAACTCTAAATTTTCTATCTTAGATGATTTTTATATCTGAAGAATAGAAATGATCAGCAGTAGAACTTGAAAAGAAAAGAGGAAAAAATATATGACTAGTTATTGTTCTCCCATACGAAGAAGAAAAAAGCCACAAACAGAAAGGAAAAAACATAGTGGGGTGAGAGAGGCTCGAACTCTCGACCTCAGGATAACTCAGAAGCTATGAGACCTACGCGCTAGCCAACTGCGCCACCACCCCAGGATGGAAAAGGGTTGGTTTTTATTATATAATTACCAAACATACTGTTGTGTAATGTATGGTCCAGTTTTTGGCTCTTCAGTTTTATTTTTAGACTTTTTTCGTGCAAGTCAGGAACTCGTCATGTTCAACCAAACCATGTTTCAAGTTTAAATGTTAAACTACTTACAGGCCCTTTGAACTACTTCAAAAGCTTAATTACAAATCCATTCGTACCATGATTTAGAAAATACAAGGCCCCAAACAGAATTTTCGGTCAAAACATGCTATCAAATCATCCTAACATTACAACTTGCAACATTGTGTCCCCCGGTTAACAATATTTAAAATACAAGGATATAAAAGTTCAAAATCCAAGAGTCAATTTCTGGTGGCAGAAAGAAGGTGAGTAAATTATAAATTAGTCCTTCTAGTTTTAATAAATGAATTAATTAGTTCTTTTTTAAAAAAAATATTATTATTTAATTCTTTGATCAGTATTTACCATGCTTAATTTGAATATTTTTATTCTATAAAATATCTTTTTTCTTATCAATCTTTTCATATTTTTTCTTTTTTATATTTCTTAAAATAAAAAATCAAAATAAATTAAAAAGAAGCAAAAATGACTAAATTATAAAAAATTTAAAAGCATAGAAACTAAATAATTAACTTTTGAAACAAGAGGGATTAATTAATTTACTTTCAGAAATGAGAGGGACTAATTTATACTAGTTGTGCGTTTTGACCAAAACCCAAGATGGCGTCTGACCTTTAGTATGTGTAAGTGACTTAGACAAAGAAATGGTCTCCCCCACTATTTTAAATAATTGATTGAAAATTCGGTAGAGGGAAGTTGCGTGGTCTTTATCCTATAGTTGATGAAGGAGCACAGTTTGATTAATCGATCCTAGATTAGGCATTAAATTCTAGAAGACAACAAAGATTCAAATTTCAAAACTGAAGTGGACTATCTTTCGTGGTCGTTGTCATCATATAATCATACACTTTGGTGATACCAAATTAACCATTTGCCGTCGTCGTGGACGAGAATGGTGGGGTTAGAACGGATTTTAACTTATGATCTTCGCTTTCGCGGAATAATACAAGAAATGGCACAAATTTTAGAGGATATTTGGAATCAATACTCTTAGATTTGTGACTCTTGAAAATATAATTGTTAAAAATATGATATTTGTGTTTGATTGATATCTAAAAATTCATAATAACTTATTTTTATTCTATTTGGTTCATTCATAAAAATTCATGAAAAATTGAAATAACTTCACTATTTTACTCTTGAAGCTAAAATATTTAATTTGTCAATGTCGTTAAAAAAGTATATTAATTATATTTAAAACCAATTTCTCAAGATTTTTTTTTCTAAATAATTATGCACACACACATATATATAATATTAATTATACTTAAAAAGAATTTGTCAACGTGATTTTTTTCTAAATAATTATGCACATAAACACATATAATATGTCAAATATATTTAAAATCATGTATTAAAATGTTTTGATAGTTGTGTTATTATTGATGAGAGTAAGGGTATCTTATATCCATTTTAAATAATATAAAATAAGGGCATTAAAGTCTATATAAATTTTCACGTTTTTTCACACTAAGGAATGTCATTGCTCTCGTTTTAAAAGAGTATCGTATTCTGACTTTAGAGGAAATGTAATGTCTTAGAATATCTCATATATCTTGACATCTAACCTTTTTTTTTTTTTTTTTGATAAAACAAACACAAATATTTTTTACATATAAATTACTTGGTAAAAGAAATCTAAAATATTAATATTCCTACGCCAACCACCCTCTTAATTCTATCCGCATCTGGCTCCCCTGGTAACTTTTTAGAGAAAAGATGCCATAGGTTCTTAATTAGCATGTGGAATTGTGGATACTCGTGTATCGGGATGAGGCAGAGAGATTTTGCATTTTTTTTCAGATTATTTTAATTCAACAGTGATAATTAAGCACAATACAGTGTCATATATTCTATCCGTTTCAAAATTTTATTCTCATTTGACTTTTTATATAGATTTAAAAATTGCAATTAATTACACGTGGGTATCTTTTATTTTGAAACTGCTTTACACTGTTACTTTTATTGTAATATAAATAAGAAGGAGAAATTAAAGTTGAATAATTAAAGTACGTTATAATTAGGAGTATAGCAATAAAACCAAGTAATCAATTATAGTTTTTTTTTTATATATAAAATTTGGGATATCTGAAAATAGAAAAATGGGCATGTTTTTCAAACGCAGGGAATAGTAGTTTAATTTGGTGGGTAGAATAATATGGTATCATATCAAATTTAGACATCTAATTTGGGAAGCTTGCATTAATTAGTTAGCGGCAAAAAGATTATTCTTCTAAAAGAAAGCGGAAGAGGATTTCTAAATGAAATTTGAATTTCATTTTAGCTTTGGATATTAAAGAAAAACAAGAGAGAAAATTGCTAAACTCATTATTTGCACTCTATTTTTCATTATTTGTTAAAAAAATGCTTATTTATTATCAATTCGGTCAATTAAGCATATGTTTTTTCGATTTTAGTCAATCGAGTATAATTTATTTAAATTCAAAAGAAAACTATTTAATAAAAAAGATACAACGGATGATGATGCTAATATGAATGAAATGAAAGTTGATATTAATGAATCATGTAGTGGAAAATAATAATTGATTGTGATAAATTTTTAATTTTAAAAAATTAAACTCGATTTGTTGAAACATATATATATAATTGACCAAATCAACCAAAAAAAACTTTAAAAAAAAAACTGGTGAAAATACACAGTAAATAATAGGTTAAAAAAAATCCAGTTCATTATTTGCTCTTGTATATCTATTTCTCTTTCTCTTATTTGCTATGTTGATTGTATTTTGAGGGTAACTTTCTCACTTTCTACATCTCATGGCTCATCAAAAAGTTAAAAAATTTACCCCCGAAATACCAAATGAAAAATGGATGGTTAGTTGCCCGATACGTTTCTTTGCCTCTAGTTAACTGTGAGTCATCATCATCAATACTTTTTTCCAATTCCCATGCAAATAGCTAGCTTTTGCGCCATTCATCTTTCCTTGTACACGTGCTATCCGTATTCTACAAGCGGAATTATTTTTACCTAGGTTTTTTTCCTTAATTAGTACATGTTAAAGACTTAAAAGAAGGTATTTATTGTCTGTGGTCATTACAAATTTTGTTTAATGTCAAATATTAAATTATTTGAGAATAATGTCAAATATTGTTATATCCAAATAAAATTATCTAATTCTATTTAATTCTTCGTTTTTCTTGTTTTTTTTAGAATTATCGGGATATTCTAAATTTAAAAATTTAGACTAATCTCTCATTATTCGATTGAACGTATAAATTAAACATAAATGTCTAAAAAGTTTTGTTTATAGATCAAAATTTAAATCTGATATCAGTTGCTTAAACGGCTAGAGCTATTTTTATTCGAATTAACTTTTTTTGATCGTTTTTTTTATCATTTTTCTTCAATAAAAAATCAAGATGGAATTAGTGATCTAATACTGACCTTGAAAGAGCTGTCGCGGCCTCAGATGGGTAATTAAACATTCCGTATCTGTGCTTTTCATGTCCTGCTAAAAAAATATGGAGACATGTCCATTGATGATTGATATTAACATTCCCTTGAAGCTCTGTGATGGTGTAACACGTTTAATCAAAAAACAGATTGTGAAAAAAAGAAAAAAAAGGAAAATGAATTTATTTTTTATTTTACGAGTGGTGCAGAACGAAACAAGTCTGAAATGGTGGCTGTAAACCAGCTGACGTAGTTGCAGCCAGCTGCCAGTGCAGGAACGCCATTTGCCAGATCAAATGTCCACAGGTAGCCCTCCTTGCCACGTGTCACGTTTTTTCAGGAGGTATTAGTTGGATAATTCGATAAGATGGAAATTGTTAGCACATCATTGAGAAACGTGACCAGCGATCAATCACATATTTTAAAAAAATTAGAACAGGTGTTCATAAATATGTTTGTTTCGTTGGCCATTGATCAATCGCAATTCCAGCAACGATTTTATTCGATAATCGTTCTCAAATTGGATCCGGATAGAAACTAACGATCTTCATTCTTGAACAATTTTATTTTATTTATTTATTTAATCTTGTCTTGGCTAGGCTTTTGTTTATTGAGAGTTCGGCTCCCACGCTTTCCGCACCTTAACTTAATTTTCCAATATTATTGAAATTTTATTTACCGTAATTAATTTTTTTAGTCTTTTTTTTTCTTATTGCAGTAGAGCAACATACTATAGATTACAGAAAAAATTTTGAATTTGACAAATTGTTTTCTAATTAAAAGAAATTAGGCTATTCTAAAAATTTATTAAAAAGAAAACTTCCCGGAAAAGCATTGAACGGTAAGAAAAAACCCGGGCTTGCTTATGGAATAAATGAAAAGACATCGGACACATTAAATTACCTTATGATTAGGTTCAATTGCTTCTAAAATAGTGCAAGTTGATGAAACTTCTTTTGAAAATAAAAAACATGAAGTAAAATTTATTTTGGCTCGCCCCTCAATAAGATTGATTTAATTCTGCTATTTATAAATATTAAGATGAAAACATACGTTGTGCAAGTATCCATGGAAAGTTTTTTTTATTATTTATTTCTTATTTTTGTCTTTCAAAATTGAAACCATTTATTTATGAATTATAAAAGTAAGAGTTTAGTTTTATAGTGATTCCATAGTTGTTGAGTACATCTTTATAAGTTCAATTTTAAAGAAAACCTTGTTAAGGTTTCTAGCGAATTTACGCCATGAAAAACAATATTAAGAGTATTTGTGTTTTTTAATTGAGAAATAGAAACTTCTTTTGGTTTCAGCTATTTAATTTCATGCATCGTATATATTCAAAACTTTACGAGCACTTAATTTAATTACTAATTACATGTAATAGTTTTACACTAACATTTAACAATGGACTTTAATTACGATAAAAAGGTAAAAAAAGTTTAATTGAAAAACTACATATCTCCCATATGTTTTTTTAAAGAAAACTTCCATTAATCGAATGAGTCAATCTCAAATTTTGAAGGATTAGATTACTAGTACGCGATACCATACATATTGGACAAGCAGAATGATTTTTACCTAGTTTTTTTTTCTTTGCTAGTATGTGTTAACAAAGGTATCTATTGTCTGTGGTCATTACAAATTTTGTTTAATGTCAAATATTAAATTATTTGAGAATAATGTCAAATATTGTTATATGGAAATAAAATATAACTCTATTTAATTTCTTGTTGTCTCATATTTTTTTAATTTTTAAGATATTCCAAACTAAAATGTTTAGATTATTTTCTCGTTATTTAGTTAAATGTAAAAAATAAAATTTTTTACTCAATTTTGTTTTTTATATATACAAAAAGTTTAAATTCAAAATTACTTATTTACAATATTAAAATTCTTTTCACTCAAAATATCCTTTTATGTCGTTTTGCTCGTACTTTTCTTTGATACAAATTCAAGATCGAATTGATGGGTCTAGTACTGACCTTGAAAGAGCTGTCGCAGCATCAGATGGGTAATGAAACATTCCGTATCTGTACATTTCATATCCTGCTAAAAAAAACATAGAGAAATGTCCATTGACGATTGATATTAACATTCCCTTGAAGCACTGTAATTTTGTAAAACGTTTAATTGAAAAAACAGATTGTGAAAAAAAGAAAAAAAAAAAGGAAAACATTAATTTTTTTTTTTTTTATGACTAGTGGTGCAGAACGAAACAAGTCTGAATTGGTGGCTGTAAGCCAGCTGACGTAGTTGCAGCCAGCTGCCAATGCATGAACGCCATTTGCCAGATCAAATGCTCACATGTAGTGCCTTTCCACGTGTCACATCTTTTCAGGATGTATCGGTTGGATAATTCGATACGTATGGAAATTATTAGCACCATCATTAAGAAACGTGACAAGGGATCAATCGAAAATTTCAAAAAAAATTAGAACAGGTGTTCATAAATATGTTTGTTTTGTTGGCCATTGATGAATCACAATTCTAGCAACAATTTTATTGGATAATCATTCTCAATAAGTCCATAATAAGTGATGTTATTGGGTCCGGATAGAAACTAAATATCGTGAACAATTTATTTTGTTTTATTTATTTGTTTAATCTTGCCTTGGTTAGGTTTTGTTTATTGAGGGTTCGAATCCCTCTCTTTCCGCACCTTATTTACCAATGTTATTGAAATTTTCTTGACCGTAATTAATTTTTTTGTCTTTTTTCTTTTCTTTTCTTATTACTGTAAAGCCGGGTACCATAAGTTAGAGAAAAGGTTTGAATTTGACAAGTTGTTTTCTAATAAAAAGATATTAGGCTATTTTAAAAATTTATTAAAAAAAGGGTCCAAAAAGCATTGAACAGTTAGAAAAAACTCCGGCTTGCTTATGGAATAAAAGAAGCAACATCGGTCACATTAAATTACCTTATGGGTAGGTTCAATTGCTTTGAAAGCTTATCATAACAGTGCAAGTTGATCAAAGTTCCTTTAAAAAAAAAAAAAAAGTGAAGTAAAATTCATTTTGGCTGATCTCTCGATAAAATTGATTGGAAAAATTTTACTATTTATAAATATTAAAAAAATATACGTCATGTAAGTATCAAAGAAGGTTTATTTTTTATACCCATCTCTCAAAATTGAAACCATTTATTTGCCAATTATAAAAGAAAGAGGTTTAGTTTTATAGTGATTCCATAGTTATTGAGTACATCTTTATAAGCACAATTTTAAAGAAAAACTAGTGAAAGTTTCTGCAGGCAAATAGACATCGTGAAAAACAATATTAATAGTATTTTTGTTTTTTAATTGAGAAATAAGAGCTTCGATCTTTCGGTTTCAGCTGCTAAATTTCAAGCATCATATATATTTAAACATTTGCGAACACTTGATTTAATTACTAATCACATGCAATAATTTTACATTAACATTTAACAATGGACTTTAATTATGATAAAATGGTAAAAGAGTTTAATTGAAAAACTACAAATCTCCCTTATGTTTTTTTAAATAAAACTTCCATTAATCTAATGAGTCAATCTCAAATTTTGAAGGATTAGATTATTATTATTTTTAATTCGTCAAGAGTTTGTTGGTCTTGAACTGTATATATATAATAGAGGATAAATAATTTTTTTACATAATTATTAAATAAATTAAAATCATTAAAAGTCCAATTTTTTTCTCCAAAAAAAAAAAAAACCGAAACATATAATCGATAGACTACATCTTCTTATATAGTTTTGAAAGCTTAGTTGTGTAGGTTTTTTTTTTTAAAAAAAAATCCACGCTTGGAGCGAATTTTAGAACACTAGCTATAAATAATGTTGGTTAACTTTTAGTGTCGGGGTAGATTATGGGCAGAATCGGCACGAGACCAAGGTACGAAAAACTCCTCCTCGTACGATCAACTGTCAGAGTGGACGGAGATAAAGTTTTTCTTAACGAGTCGGCATAGCTTTTAGTCTAGTGGATTAAATTGACACCTTTTTATGGAGGACACGTTTATTTATAGGCTATCGCCATTGCCCATTTGAAGTTCTAGATGTTTCAACAACTAATACTTCCTTTCACACTGTTGGGTTGGAACTGTATTTCATAGAACGAACTAATAATACTTATTTTATAGAAAGAAATAGATAAAAAAGAAATAAAAAATAAGACATGGAATTTAAAAAAATGATTTTTTTTATATTGAAAAAAAAACTTCATTCGATTTCAGCTATTTAATTTTCAAGCATCACGTATATTTAAAACTTTTTATGAACACTTGATCTAATTGCTAATTACATACTATAATATTACGCTACCATTAAGCAGAGGAGTTTATAGTCTCTCATTCCTCTTTTATAGTTCAAAGCGGATCGGTTTTAGCCGAATATTGGAAGTCTCTTGTTTTTATTTCATGGTTCAAAGCAAGTCGGCTATGACAGGATATTATATTAATGATTCAATTTAATTGTACTTTTTTACTCAATTTTTTCTTCGTCGAGTATATATATATATAGTCTAATCCATGATGGTTTGTGTAAATAATTAGAATTACCAGGAGTCACGAAATTTTTTTACTCAAGAAAACCACGAGATACATATAATTGCTAGACTCCATTTGCTTCTATATTTTGAGAGATTAGTTGGGTAGGTTTTTTTTTTAAAAAAAATGGTGGCTTGTAATGTAATTTTAGAACACAAAATAAAGTAACGTTGGTTAACTTTTACTCTGTGTTTGGATATTTCCTCTTGGGAGGAAAGAAAAGAAAGAAAAGAAAGTGGAAGAAAAGAAAAATGAGAAGAAAAAAATTATTTTTCACTTATTGTTTAGATAAGAGTAGAAATAAAATGAAAGAAAATATATTTTTCTTCTTTGGATAATTGTAAAAAGAGGAAGGAAATAAAATGTATTATTATATATTTATAATAATACCCCTATAATTATATTTCTATATTTAAATAGTTATAATAAATTTGTATGAATATATTTTTTTAAATTACATAAATGATAATAAAATAAAAATCTAGCATGTAGTATTTAAGATTACATTCTTTAATGATAGTAATTTTGATATATTAATGTTAAAAATATAAAAAAGTATCTTAAAAAAATATCAAATTAATGATGACATATTTTTATAAAAGCATATGCATTGCATTACCACACGTACTTACTCTATTTTACCCTAAATTAAAGAACAAAAATACTATGTCACAGGGTGAAAAACACGTGAAGAAGTAGATATTTTCAGAAAATGGAAAAGAATCGTGCTAAAAAACTGATGTAAACATCAACTATAAAATTTTACTAGACTCACATGGAGCTGAGTAAGACACATGTGAGTAAGGGTAAAAATATAAGTGAAAAAAAATTGTTAAGCATCATGGTTTTCTCTCACTTTCCTTTTAATTTTGAAAAGAAAATGGATCCCATCAAAAAGATATTTGTTTAATATTTTTTTTTCTTTTCATTGCTTTTTTCTCTCTGAATTTAACAGAGGAAAACTTTTCTTTCCTTTCTATTTTTTTTCCTCTCCTCTGCTTTCCTATCCAAACAAAGGGTTAGTGTGGGGGCAGAATACCGGCAAAATTGGCACGAACCAAAGGTACAAAAAAGCTCGTCCTCACGCTCTCTTGTCAGGGCGGGTGGATGGAAATCAATTATTTTGAAAAAAAAGTCGGCAAAGATTTTAGTATTGTGGATTAAATAGATGCCTTCTTATGGATGGCATGTTTATTTACAGCCATTGTTCATTTGATGTTTTAGACTCCCAGCAATTTATACCTACTTGTCGAGTTTTGGCTTGGGAATGTATGAGTTGCCCATATTTGTACCAAGAGATTTTTTTTTATTCCAAAAATAATTAGTATTATTTACTCGACATATTGACATGGAAAAGAGAGAAAAATAAGATTTTTTTTTAAAATGAGTTTTTTAATTGAGAAATAGAAAATTCATTTGATTTCAGCTATTCAGCTTTCAAGCGTCATGTATATTTAAACTTCTCCATGAATACTTAAAGTCGATCAAAAAGAAGAAGGATAATATCTTAAAAAATGAAAAACACTAAAATAGTTTTATTAAAATTTTATATGTGATTGTTTAGAGAGACAAAAAAAATTATTTTTTTAAAACGATATTTCCTATCCGATAAAATTTCTGATACAATAAATTAAATATATGTTACTATGTCATTTTAAAAATATAATAAACTTAGTTATATGGTAATGTCATAAAAAATTTGTAATGTTTATGAAATTTGAAACTTAAAAGTAGTGAATAGTATCACTTATATATATATATATATATATCTTTGAAAGAGAGGCTAGAAAGATAGAAAGGCAAAAGAGCTTTTTTTTTTTTTTTTTTCTTTTTGCCGCTAAATGTATTTTGTCAACAAAGACATGTATGCTAAATGCTTTTTGTGAAACGACAAAGACATGTAATAATTGAAATACTTGAGTGAGTAAAGGATTGAGCGGTAAAAAATAATAAAACTGACATTTTTTAAAGGCTTTACCATTGCCAAATGAATGTGAGAAATAAAACTGTTGACAACAGTTTGTACTGTTTTGAAATCGTATGTTTTTCTTTTTTAGCTTTTCAATATTTTAATAAAAAATACTCCAACACCTAATCTAATTGCTAATTACATACAATAATATTACATTAACACTTAACAGTGGAGTTTAATTATGATAAAAAGGTAAAAGAGTTTAATTGAAAAATTATATATCTCCCATATGTTTTTTTAAAATAACTTCCTTTGATTGGAGTCTCGTACTTCACTTTTATGGTTTGAAATAAGTCTAGTTTGGCTGGCCATTGAATAACTCAATCTGGTAGCACTTGTTGACTCATGTTTTTTATTCATTGTATTATTTTTAATGCACACATATGTATGTATTTATAATAATAATATAGTATATTTTCAAATAATTTGTGTAAATAATTTTTATAGATATTAAAAAACAAGATGAGGTCTCACCGATTAATTAAACTACTGGTGTGATCCGATGATTGATTCATTGAGAGGTCCATTGAACTATATAATAGAAAATAGCCATCTTCTAGTACATAATTATCTAATAAATTAGAATTATTAAGAGTGAAATCATTTTCACTAAAAAAATTACCACGTACATGTAATTGCTAGATTCATCTGCTTATATGATTTTGAAAGATTAGTTGTATAGGCTTTTTGTTTTTTGTTTTTTTTTTTTAAATATCGACGCTTGTAATAATATAATTTTAGAACACAAAATAAAAATAACGTTGGCTAACTTTTAGTACTGGGGCAGATCATGGGTAACATTGGCACAAGCAGTAGGTACAAAAAATTCATCCTCATGCTGTCACCTGTCATGGTGGATGGAAATCAAGTTTTTTTTTCCAAACAAGTCGGCATAGATTTTATTCTAATGGATTAAACTGATACATTTTTATGGAGGAGATGGTTATTTATAGCCATTGCCCATTTGATGTTTTAGACTCTTCAGCAATTAATACTTTCTTGTCCAGTGTTGGGTTGGGACTCCATGAGTTGCCCATATGTTTATAAGAAATTTTATTTTATTATAAGAACAATTAGAGAGGGATAATTTTTTTTCTAAAAAAAATGGAAACTAAATAAGTTCGAATGCATTTTTTGATCTCTCTCTTAAAAAAAATTTATTATTAACGAACTATTGTTAGGCAATCCCTGAATATTTCAAAATTTGTGAAAGAATGAGTGCGGACGTATGCAAGTGCACCCCTGCTTTTTCGGGTACAATCAATCAATCAGTAAGATAACGAAATTCGACAGATCATAAGTGGTGCAAAGACTTCTGTTTTACAAACGTGCGGCCTCCTCGTTCCATTCTACTCTTATGTAATAGTGAATGTTCGTACCTGTCTGTTTTTACGTCGGTGGCTTTTGTTGTTGGAGTCCACGTTGGATGGCGGTGCAAAATCAGCGCTGCTGACTCTAATTCACATGCAATGCCAAGAAGCAGTCCTCTTTTTCCCATCAAAAAGACGGAAAAGAAGAAGAAGAAGGCAGTCCTTGTTGTGCCCCCAATCAATGTCATCCATTTATGCTGGACACCATCCCAGAAAATACTCCTATTTTTGGTCCTCACGATCAAAAGCTCCCCTTTACCCAAAATTATTACCACGGTAAAAGAAATGTTCTTGTCTCGGGCCTCGTAACTATTTTGAGGTTCCAAACTTGAGAGCATCTTCGAGCTGGAACGGCCATTACCTTTTTGGGTTTAGTGGAGATCCAATGGTGGAAAAAAACGAAACTTATTTAATGCATACAACATATTTCTTTATAGATAGACGTGAAAAATTTTATAATATTTAAAGAATAATTAATCTATATATAGTAATTATTTTATATATTTATTTCTGAAATGATAGATAGACATATAAAAAAAATTATATTCGAATCTATTAAAAAGTATAATAAGATTTTTACGTTAGTTTATTTTTAAAATTTTTTCTTTTACTACTCTTTATTTTGTATCCATCTCTTTATATAGAATAATTTATACTAATTATTTTTTTAACATTAAAAAATTTATAATTTCTCTTTTGAAGTCACGCTTCTACATCATATTTAGCGTCACGCTTTTACATCATGTTAAACGGAATCACGATTCCTAAATCATACCGTTCATACTCCATCGGCCTCGTTGGGTTGGAGCATATGGCTTATTTCAGGAAAATAAAATGGAGATTAAATTCCATTCTCAAGTGACGTCGTTGTCGTTATATTGTGAGCTTGCGACAATGTTTAATCCACTTAGATAAAAAAAAAATAATAAAAATATTATTGTCGTTGTACGTGCAAAGCTACGCAATATTTTAATAGGAAACGCTTTCACAATTTTTAAAAGATAGAATTTCATCCTACTTTGCTTCAAAGGATGGCATTCAATCTTTTTAATTTTCTTTTCTACAAAAGAAAATGGTTTTTAATTCTTATAACTGTTTTCATATTCAAGAGCAATAAAATACGCAGTATTCTAATCTCACCCTCTCAAAGTTTTAAAACGAATTATTTCAGAGATTGAGCACATTCTCAACAATTTGGAATGTAAAAATCCAAAGTTCTAAAACGAATTATTTCAGAAATAGAGTACATTTTCACGAATTTGAAGTGTACAAATTAAATACTTGGATTTTTGCAATCTAGAAAACAACACATCTTAATATATTTGTAAGGTTTTCGGTTTATTTTATTTTATTATTATCCTCAAACTCTTGACTTGCAATGTGCGTTTGCCCAACAATTAATGTTTAAAAATTTATGTGATGGCCTTGGCCTTGCTTACAAGAAATTTCATTCGTATATATGTGGTGTTTTTGTGAACGCTTGAGTTAATTTATAAAAGGAACGCTATGAGTGCAATTTCGTGAGAATTAAAACTCATTTTCTAAAACATTTCTCAAAAGATTTCCATAAATATTACAGTCGATTTTCTCGAGTGGATTAAGTTCTTCCTTTTTAGTGAAAAGTCTGGAATATTTCACGATCGACTCCCATTTTTCACATCAATTCTGAATTACAAGTTGTTTACCTATTTTATACGCACATGTATATTGTTTTTTTTTTTTTTAAGGATCAAGATATTTTCGTTTGCCGAACCATCCTCAAGTTAATTAATATATTTCAGCAAATAACTTTCATTCTATTCCTTTTGAATTGAATTCAAGATAATTAGATGGAAACAAATCCCGTTATGTGAGAGTCAAACATGAGAAACTACAAAAATTCTACGTTGATCGTATTCTGAATTGAAAATTCCAACCACTCGAACGCTTACATGTAATGAAAAAAATCCTTGTAAGAAATCTGGTAAAAAAATATTTTTGTCTTTGTTAAAAGAAAAAATTATATACATATTTTTTTATCATCACAACTACGCTCTTCTATAAATAACTTTTTTTTTTGGTGTGTGTTGTTATGGGATAGGAAGGCTGTCAGTTGATAAAATGCAGAAAAAACAACAGTAATATTATCTAAAAAGCCAGATTTCATTAATGAATTATACAATATAAAGAACTCCATAACCTCTGGATAAATTTCCCCCATCACATAGCCATTTGGTGCCAATGACGCTCCTTCGGCAGGACCAGCAGGAAATAGACAAAACACCAATCCCACCGAATCAGAATTTCATCGCTCGCTATTTATTTTTATAAAAAGTAAACATTTGTGATTGATTGACGAGGACCGAAAGCAAAAACACAAAAACACCAAAAGAAAAGAAAAAAAAAGAAGCAAAATTTGAAAACAAATCCGGAAGGAACAGTCCACATTAAACCAGCCTAATTAATTCCCACGCACCACCGTGCCTTAAATCCAAACTCTCTCTCCTATTCTCTCTTTGCGCTTGTTTTTGCTTCAATATCAAAGCACGCGACGAGACCATTAAATTTTACGATTCTAGAGAGAGAAATACAGAGCAGACCAAGTAGCCATGCTTTTGTACCACCTGGCGATCATATAAGCTGAGAGTTGCAGGCGGTTGATCCTCTGCTCGCCACGCCATAATTACTCATAGTGATTCGTCACCAAAAATATTTTTATTTTTCCTTTCTGATGACACAAAATTCGAGAAATTCGATTCTATTATAACTGATTCGGGGCCCTTCCCTTGATCTCTCTCTGCCGGAATTGATTTCTAGAGAGAGAGAGAGAGTACTGATTGGATCTTAGAAGGAAAGGCAAGTTTTGTTTGATGTGAAGTTTTGGTGTTTGCTTGGATTTTGGATGTTATAGTTGTTTGTAGTTAAAGGAAGTTTTTTTTTGGTGTTTCTGTTTTCTTATAGATATAAAACTTTGGTATTTTTGGATTCATAGCTGAAGAAAAGGAGAGATTTAGAGAGAGAAAGAAATTAGAATCTAAATTAGTCGACATGGTGAGCAGCAATTTGTTTCACTGTAGAAAGCATTCATGGCCGCCCGAGGAGTATATCAGCAAAAACACCTTACAATTGGTAACCACTCTGTCTTTCTCTCTCGCTTTGATATAATCAATCTTTTTTTCTTTTTGTTTAATGATCGAGTCGCCTGTTTGGTTTCTGAGAAAATTCATGGGAAGAAGGAAAAAAATAAAAATCAGAGGTTGGTTTTTAAGAGATGTGCGAAAGGATCATGCCTTAAGCTGCTTTAGCGAATCAATCATGCCAAGAAGAAAAAATTAGTGATTTGCTGAATTAACTATTTACTTTGTTGGATAAATAGCTAGTTTGGCAATCGAGAGAGTAGCTCTTGAAAAGCTCAGATTTTGAGCTTAGAATGTTTCCTGAATGGAATGAAAATGTTTTTTCCCCATTCTGCAAATTTGGTCAAAAGTCAAAACCGTTTGTTTTGTGCTTAAAAAATCAGCTTATGTGGTGAATTTTTCTTCAGGATCAGAGAAAAGTTACTTAAATTGATTGACGACGTTGGCCTTTGGAGTTGCTTCTTCTTGCACGTAGAGTTTTTGAAATCTAATAGCTTAATTATATGCAGCAGCATTGACCCTGTTAGGCTGTTAGTTATTTAGATTGGGGTGTTGGTCTTCTTCTTCTCCTCATTTTTTTTTTTTAAATGGCTATTGTGTTGTGAGACTTCTTGGAAATGATGTTTTCTAGAGGAGCAATTATTCTGTTCGGCTGATTCCTGGGTCTCTTTGCTAAGAAATAATGCAAGTTTAGTGGCTCGATATCTTCTTTCTAATCAGTAAGGTTTGTATATATCCACTAGGGCTCCCAACATACTGCCTTTTCTAGAAGGTTACGTATGGATGCTTGAAATCAGATATAAGATTTAAATTCCCACTTGAAATATCTGGTCAGTAGATTGGGCAGCCTGGGTTAGGTTATCGCACCTCATAAAATGTTACATTGGTTCTGGGTAATAATCATGTATTTGTACTAATGGTGATTGTTTAGACAAGATAATTGTGTTCTACAGTTTCAAGTAAACTTTGTAAACTTTATGTACTTATTTTTATTTTTTCAAACTGCAGTTTGATTTTGATAGTGCTGCCCCACCGGTACAAGCCTGGAGAAGGAGATTAAACAGCCATGCCAATATTCTCAAGGAATTCACCGTTACTTTTAAGGAAGCAATACAGATGGTGTGTGATATGATCTTTGTATATGCATTTGCTGGTTCAAAAGACAAGTCTTCGCATATGATTTCCTTTTTTCAATTGTTTCTGTGCTGGTTCTTATTGTTTTTGTGGTCTTGGGATTTGAAATATTAGGTTAGATTGGGTATACGGCTATGGTCTTATGTCAGAGAGGAAGCATCTCATGGAAGGGTAATTCTATCATTTCCTTAATTTAGAGGTTCTCTAGTTTCCTTTAAATAGAGTATAAAATAAAATTTTAGCTGCTAGACTAAAGTTGGGCTTGCCTGATTTGTGTAGAAAGCACCTATAGATCCCTTCACCAGAGAAAGTTGCAAGCCATCAGCATCTCAGGGTGTTCCACTAGGAGGAATGGGGTATGTAAAGGTTCATATGATCCTCTGTTTCATCCTAATGTATCTTCTAATTTATCTGACTGATAAGGTCAACCTTGCTTTCTTTTACAGAAGTGGAAGCATATCCAGAGGTTTTAGAGGCGAGTTCAGGCAGTGGCAAATTGTACCTGGTATATGTGAATCTTCACCAGTCATGGCCAATCAGTTCTCTGTAAATCTCTACCTTTCTCAACCTACCATCTATTTGCTTCATGCTTTAGTTTTTTTTGTTTTTTGAGTTGTTTATTGCTATTTTTCTTTTGATGTTATGTGATATGAGTGTGCATGTTGTGGCACTACAGATTTTTATATCACGAGATGGAGGGAACAAAAATTATGCTTCAGTTTTGGCTCCTGGCCAACATGAAGGGATAGGGTAAGATGAATTGATGGGAGCTTTTATGCTGTTCATAGAAAGAAATTGTATGATTAAAGCATATTATATTCTTCAACAGGGTGTTTTCATTAATGTGTTGCAGGAATTGAAATTTATAGCATCTGAAGTGCAGATTCATATGCTGATTTTGTTATAATATTGTCACAGGAAAGCTGGTGATCAGGGCATATCATCGTGGGGTTGGAACTTGAGTGGCCAGCATTCCACTTACCATGCTCTATTTCCTAGAGCATGGACAATATATGATGGTATTATTCTATTCCATCCTTGCTGTTTCTAGAAGAATCATGCTTTCCTCTTCAATTCCTGTTTTAATGACAGGACTCTTGCTTTCCAGGTGAACCAGATCCAGAGCTGAAAATTTCCTGCAGACAGATATCACCGTTCATACCAGATAATTATAGAGATAGCAGTCTTCCTACTGCTGTTTTTGTCTACACTGTATGTTAATTCCACTTTTTATATCACTATCGGGTTACTTTATTTTCCTTTCTGAGATGTTGTACTTCAATGTCTACATATTGTACTTGGGGTATGCTAAAGCATGGTCAGTTTATTATGAAGCTCTATTAGGTTATATCAACCTAGAATTACATCATGGGCTTTATGAAACTGACTTGAACCAAGATACTGTAGGTTTGGATTTATCTTGGAGATGCGGATGCTTATGGTCTTTTTTGAATTGTATGATCTTGATGGACCACGCAATTGAGATGTAGTTTTGTATAGCATATCAAGCTTAGTTATATTTTTATTGATTTCTTATAAAACTGCCATCTGCTTCTATTGTAGTTGGTGAACACTGGGAAGGAAAGAGCCAAAGTCAGCCTTTCCTTTACATGGGCGGTAAGTTTTTACATTTCACTGTGTTTCTTTTTCACTATTCTTGGCGATTGAAAGATATAGTAAGTGATATGATGTCAAGCTATTGATGTGTGATTTGGTGCAGAATTCAATTGGAGGAATCTCACACTTGTCAGGAGATCACGTGAATGAGCCATTCATGTTAGTATATGTGCATTTCATTCAATATTCCTAATGTTCCTACATGTTTCAAAACATAGTTTGACTTTATTCTTTTTCTTTGACAGAGGGGACGATGGAGTCTCTGGCGTACTTCTACATCACAAGCAAGTCATCAAACCTTAATTGCTTATGACGGTTGGTTTGCATATTTCTCTTGGTGATTTCTGTGTCATAGGGGGTGAAAGCGAAGCAAACTGTTTACCTCACCTATTCCTTATAATAAGGAAACAGAACATTTTAATGAAGATATGGTACGGATCAGGCAAGGAAGAAAAAAGCTCCTTAACCCTTCCTTAAGTCAGCCACCCCTCTCTGAGTAACCAAATGAGTTGAACTGGCATATTGTTTTAAAAATATTATGCACCAACGCACAAGACCCAAAAAAAAAGGGGGGGGGGGGGGGGGGAGAGAGAGATAAGGGTGTACAGTACATAGCTTAGAAAAACAAACATAAAATGGAAGTCACCTGGTACAAAGACACAATGAACATCTCTGAAAATATTCATATTGTGTAGCCTGCTAAGAGTCTTACAGGAATAGAAGATTTTGTTTGGCATTTCAAAGCTTTCTTGCAATTCATTGTGTGAAGTATTGACCTTTTCTCTCTTCTTCAGCTGTTAAATTCACTTCACCTTGTAATGAAATATAGAATGATAGTGCCTGAGAATACTGGCAATATGAACATGAGCATGGTGCTAATGAGGCCGCATTAATATTCTTATGAGTATAGGCTAGAAAAGTCAGTTTTAATATGCCTCAATGAATCTATATGGAAAGGTATTACCTTATTTTTGGAATTTGCTTGAATTGGGTGCTTGGTGGCACAGAGTGGGAGAGCAGTTTGGCTTCATTTGTTGGTATCCTTAGTTGATAATCACCATTGAACTACAAGCCCATTGAGTTGTTTAATGGTTCAATCCATCTAACCCTATGACTTTTCTGGGACCTTTTGCATTAAGTTCTTTATAAAATTACTTACCTCCCCACACCACCCCCCTCCCCCTCCCCTCCTTTTGAAGCGGTTTTTACTATTTTGGATGATCTCAAGTATGGTTCTCCTAGTTTTTGAATTGCTGAGTACTTGAAAATCAGTCTTGATGAGTGAATTTTAGGTCATTCTTCCTTCACAAAAAATTAGTAGAAAGCTGATGATGCAATTAGTTTAGGTCATATAAACCTAGGTAGCATGCACAATGCTGCAATCGGGTCATTTCTCTGCTTCTATCATTCTTATTCTGCAAATTTTTATCTGCCCTTCACCCCTTTTGGACTTTGCTTCAAGTTAGTCTCAGCCTTGAAGTTTCCATGTCCATTCCATGCCACTAGTATTTAAATGCTGCATATCCGTTCCATGCCACTAGTGTTTAAATGCTGCATAGGCTTGTCAATGGAAAATCTTGCTTTGAAGTCTTCTATTTTCTGATTTTTTTTTTTGGTCAATATTATGGAGTTTATTTTTAATAACATCTCTGGTGCCAAAAAATTTGGTATGTCATTTGTTTCATCTCATCCTGCATGGGCCTGTCAATGGAAAATCAGGGTTCTCCATGTATCTATCTATATGGTTGATCTGCTCCTCCATGCCTCTTAAAGTCATAGCTTTCCTTGGACGAGTGTTTACTTCTTTTTTGAACTTTTGGTACATCTGGAATTTATTACTTGAGTTCAATCTTCATTATCATTGAAATTATAGCTATTTCTTCTAGATTGTTAGCAGCATTTATCTTTGAAGCATCTCTAATGATTATCACAATGCTGCAGGACTGCAAAGAGCAGCCCTCCTGTTACATTTGCAATTGCGGCGTGTGAAACTCAGAATGTAAGTGTCACTGTTCTGCCGAACTTTGGGCTGTCTGAAGGAAGTTGTATCACGGCAAAGGACATGTGGGGTAAAATGGTGCAGGTACTGGTTCCTTGTCTTTTCATTGCCAAAACTACTTGCTGCTCGTGAAGACATTTGTCTCAGAAATGATTAATTGGCGTTCATGCCTGGAAACTTGCTGACCATATAGTTTACCGAGGGTCTTATGCTTGAGCTTTCATATGAAGAATGCTTTTTCCAAGCTCCTGATACTGTTTCTGGAATCTGATGTCCATTACTAACATTATATGCTGTGTGGAAAAGAATTAAAGTTGAATTTGTTTTCCTGCATTTCAAGGATGGGCATTTTGATCGGGAGAACTTTAACTGTGGACCAAGCATGCCTTCATCACCTGGAGAGACACTTTGTGCTGCAGTTTCAGCTTCTGCCTGGGTGGAACCTCATGGAAAGTGCACCGTTGCATTTGCTCTTGCTTGGTCATCTCCAAAAATAAAGTTTTTGAAGGGAAGCTCATACCATCGGTAAATTACAATGAACCTTTCCCCTTTTCATGTTCATTATTGCAGCCTGTATAGTAAATTTATATTGCTTGGATGCTAAAACTGTTCTAAAATCTTGTATCTTCTTGGTAATTGGAATCTTTGGTTTGAGATTTTACATTCTACTTGGTATTTTCTTCTGATCAATATAGCATTTTTAAGTCCTAAACATCTTTAGACTCCTAAACGTTGCAAGTGCATTGTAGTGCAATGATAACTCATTATCAGACATTTAATGTGAGTAATGGCAGATTATTTTCCATTTATTGGTTGGAAACTTCAACTTTTAGTCCATCAGACTTGGTTCATCAGAATAAGAGCTTTCTTGGACCTGGAACAAAAACTGTTATGATAATGTAACATAAGATCATTCCTTTAAAAACCAAAAAGAAGAATTTATTCGAGGGGGAAATGAGAGATATTTCGTTTCGCCAGAGTTATTTGATTCTTGCATTTCAAAATATTTCTATAGTATATCAGAAAAATCATTTATAAACCCATTGGTAGCTCATTGATATTTAATTATCAAGCATATTGGTTTGGCTTTTCTCTGTGCATTCTCTGCAAGGTTATATACCATTGAGATGTTCATTTGCTGGTAATGTGTGATTATCGAATTTCATTTGCTGGTAATGTTTGATTATCTAATTATTCTATTTGGCTGTATATTTTACCTGGTATTCTATATTATAGATAGTGCATGTTTCTATTTCTTTGTGAGGCGTGTATGCCATGGAAGTGCATATTTGACCATGTTTTGACTGAATTGCTTACGCGGCTATGGCAGAAACACTATCCTACAGAGAGGAAACTGATTTCTGGGTATGTTTCTTTTGTTGTAGGAGGTACACAAAATTTTATGGCACTTCGGAAAGGGCAGCTCAGAATTTGGTGCATGATGCACTGACAAGTACGTATGTTCGGATTTTACTTGTTTAGATTCCTCTAGCATGGCCATCTTATTTGCTGATCGGTCTGCCAACAAACTCTCCTTTTAAGATTGCACTTTTCCATTTATTTTAGCTTCTAGAGTTTCAGTTATAGTCTAAAACTTTTGAATTTGATCAGATTACAAGCGGTGGGAGGAAGAGATTGAGAAATGGCAAAATCCTATCCTCAATGATGAAAAGCTACCAGAATGGTAACTCCCTTGATCATCAGATTGGCTACCAACTACTTATCTGGGGACTTAAACAGCCAAAATATCTTCCAAGAAAGTCATCTTGTTGTGGTGGACAAGTCATTGACACTTAAAATGTTGGATGCATCTATTTTGGAGCATTATATTAATTAAAGCTTCCTTCATGAAGCTAAAATACATACAAACAAAAGAATATAACATTTGATTAGTGCATGTACATATGCATTTGTGATCTCAAACGGGCAAAAAAACCTTGCATGAAATACCATTTTATGTAGGGAAGAAGCTGTTAGACACATATATGCTGTTTTGTCTCTTTCGAGGCATCAGATGTGTGAATGCACTTGTGCATGTCATATCAGATATCAACCTTGAAAGACGCCAACGCCACTCAGATTAACTTTTATGACCAATTTCTTTTCAAATGCTTAAGTGCTATTACTCTCTGTGGGCACATATGCTTGTTTCTCTGGGTGATATTGTCTTAACGTCATTTAATATTGCAGGTACAAGTTCACATTGTTTAATGAGCTCTACTTTTTGGTTGCTGGTGGAACAGTTTGGATTGGTACTCATCTATACTAACTGCCAAGTCTTTTCCTGGATATTTACAGATAAAAGATTTGCTTCTATGATGCTTTTATCATAAGTGCATAATTTGTTTTCACCACTCACTTGTCTGTTATTATTTGCCATATTTGCATTTTCTTGTTGCTATATCATTATGGTTCATGAAGGAAACTAGCAATAACATAATTGTTTGCAATTGCTTTGCTCTCTCTGTACAGACTCCCCCTGTCAGGTGCAGATAAGAGAAATGGCCATCATCGGTCGATAGAAGTAGACACCACAGGGATCAAAGTAACTGAAGCCCAAGTAAACTGCAATGGAGGTGCAGTTGAGCATACCACAACTGATCGTCACAACACCAATGAATCAGCAGTCTATCAGGAGGGGGAAACTTTGACCACTCTTGCGATCCTTTAGCATATCTTGATCCTCACAGCGATGATGTTGGTAGGTTTTTGTACTTGGAAGGAGTAGAATATATCATGTGGTGCACATATGATGTGCATTTCTATGCATCCTTTGCCCTTCTTGCATTGTTTCCCAAAATTGAACTCAATATTCAACGTGACTTTGCCAAAGCTGTGTTATCTGAGGATGGAAGAAAAGTAAGGTTTCTGGCAGATGGTCATCCTGGAATTCGCAAGGTTAGAGGAGCTGTCCCTCATGATCTTGGGACACATGATCCGTGGAATGAAATGAATGCGTATAATATACATGACACAAGCAAGTGGAAGGATCTGAATCCTAAGTTTGTGCTTCAGGTGTATAGAGATTTTGCTGCAACAGGGGATATGTCGTTTGGAGTTGATGTCTGGCCTGCAGTACGCACTGCCATGGAATACATGGAACAATTTGATAGGGATGATGATGGTCTGGTTGAAAATGATGGATTCCCAGATCAAACATATGATGCATGGACGGTTCATGGTGTAAGTGCTTACTGTGGCTGCTTATGGCTTGCTGCCCTTCAAGCTGCTGCTGCAATGGCCCTTCAACTAGGCGACAAGTATTTTGCTGAATTATGCAAAAGCAAATTTGCAAAGGCAAAATTGGCATTTGAATCAAAACTATGGAATGGTTCATATTTCAACTATGACAGTGGCTCAAGTAGTAACAGTAAATCTATACAAGCTGATCAACTGGCAGGGCAGTGGTATATGGCATCTTCAGGTTTGCCGCCACTTTTTGATGATGTTAAAATCAGAAGTGCTCTTAACAAAATATATGATTTCAATGTAATGAAAGTTCGAGGAGGTAAAATGGGTGCTGTAAATGGGATGCATCCAAATGGAAGGGTGGATGAAACTTGTATGCAGTCTCGTGAAATATGGACTGGTGTCACCTATGCTGTGGCAGCTAACATGATTCTCTCCGGAATGGAAGACAAGGCATTCACTACTGCTGAAGGCATTTTCACTGCAGGCTGGTCGGAGGAGGGCTATGGGTAAGTTTTGTGCATATTATATTGTATTCGTGTCATTGTGTGATTTATGTTCTATGTCATAGATGTAGAAGTTACTAACAGCTACGCAGGGAACAATACATATCCTTTTCCAGCCCACTGTTTCTGCATTCTTCTGTGCAAAAAAATTAAGAAGAAAAAGTAAATAGAACTCTAGGCTTTAATTAAAGCCATTGCTAAATGAAATAGCACTGCTACTGCCCAACTTAGTTCTTGTCCTCTTTCTGTTCTCTCGCCTAGTTTCATTGAAAATTGTACTTGGTGAACTGAGTTCACTATTTGCTTATTATTCTTGAATACTGAGTCTGGGCTTTTCTTGGTCAATACTGAACCTACAATGTTTTAAAAGAACTTTTGTCTTAAGTATAATCTGTTGGCTGTTCAAGCAATCTTTGCATGGAGGGTGTTGACTTCCCAACTAAAAGAAACGTGGGTTTGGACTTTTGACTCTAATAATCCATCATTGTGGCCGCTTGGAAGGGCCCGTCCTTGCTTTATCTGTATTGTATTATTATCTATGTTTTTTTTTTGCCTTTTCCCATTTAAGTATGTTTTTCTATAGTAACTGTGGATTAATCTTCCCCTCTGCAAAATACAGATACTGGTTCCAGACTCCAGAGGCATGGACGATTGATGGGCACTTCCGGTCCCTTATTTATATGAGACCTCTTGCAATTTGGGGCATGCAATGGGCACTATCGCTTCCTAAAGCAATTCTGGAGGCCCCAAAGATTAACATAATGGAAAGGAGCCTTCTATCTCCTAGTGCAAGATTCTCCCTCATTAGCGAAACAGGAGTTAAGAAGATTGCAAAAAAAGCCAAGTGTTTGGGCAATTCGGTTTTTCATTGTTCATGCTAATTATACATGCAAGCCCCGTTATCTTTGTAAAGAAAAGAAAAATGTTCGATAATTTTTTTTTACCCCTTCTTGAACTCTCTCCAACAGGAATGTAGGGGGAGAAGTTTGGGGAAATCTTTCTTTCCTAGACAGGCAATAAAAAGCTAGGCTGTAACTTAGTATTCAATTTTAGTTGCACGATAAAGATGTCTGTCTTTAAATTGAGTGTCTTGTAGTTCTATAATTTTGGTCCTTTTATTATGTTTATTTATTATTCATTTTTGCATTTGTATGATATGCGGATTTTAAACCTTTTTGTTCAGGAAGGTAATATCATATAATTAAGTAGGGAGTTACTTTCCAAGTTTTTGGGCACATGTGTTGGACTTGCTAAGATGTAGCATGCTCTAGTTTCATTGAAAATGCCACTCAACATTGAATTGAGTTCTTTCAGGCCGCTTAGCAAGTGTTATTTTATTATTTTTGTTTTTTTTATTTGGGTGGAATTCTTGAAATCTTGATTTGTGACAATGTCTAACGTTGGTTGGAAACACATCTTTTTCTAGGTACGAGCCAATGATAGGTTGATAGAGCATATAAACCGGAAAGATTTAGGTGAAGGCCATTGTACGTTTGTATGATGCTTAAGTAAATTTTAAGGGTTAATGATGCTTAAGTAAATTGTAAGGGTTAATGATGCTTAATTTATCATTTGAACTAAAGTTCTGGATTTGAAATCTTTCCAAGCTTGGTATTAAAATAAGCATCTGACTCTCTATTCTTGTTTTTTGCCCGGTTGAATTTTCTTCCTTCACGAAGGGAATTCTAATAGTTGTGGTCTGTGAGCCACTAATATAAATGGACTTCAAAGTCTCGTGGTTTCCTCTCAGCGTTTGATGGAGTTGGAGTTATCGCTGAAAATCCTTTATTCGTCCAAAAATATCCTTGGTTCCAACTGCCTCCGTGTCACATGTTTTGTAGCTGCCTTTTTGTTCAGCCTTAATGGGAGCCGGCAAAGTGGGACTTTTAGTGGTCTCATTCTTGCTTTTATCCTTTGGCTTTTCACTTTTGGCACTTTGTCAAAAGGAGGATTCATAAGAGCATCAGGCTGCGACGTAAGAGTAAAACGCTGATCGGAGAGGATAACGATCCGGTGTTGTTGGCATGTTTTGTTCCAACGATTTCTCCTTCTTTAGCTTTTTTCAAAGGTTACACGATAAAATCCTTTTTCCTGTCAGTTTCATTGATAAATTGGGAGAGTAGAGACATACGAGAATTGAATGACTGGTGTTGAAACAGAATTGAAAGAAGTTAAAACTCAAACTAGTATTTTGCTTTCATATTACGGTATTATACGGAAAATATTATTACAATTTTTTTATCCAGATATAATTTATAATAAATTTTATATAATTAGTTATTAGTGCAAAATAACTTTTTTGTTAACTTTTTCTGTTAAATTAGTTAATTTTTTTACTTGAATAACGGCTGATCAATCAAGTAACGACATTTATTAATTCAAGAGTAAAAATATAATTTTTTAAAAAATTATTTTTTTCAATTTTTTAAAAAATTTAAAATAATAAATAATTATTATAAAATAATTAAAAATTGAAAAAAAAACATTGCAAATAAAAATTTTAAAATAATCATTTTTAATGTCTAATGAATTTATAATAATTAGTATTAAATAATTTTTTTTAAATATCTAAATAAATTATTTTTTTTCAAATCTTAATGATTTTACAATAATTATTAATAAAAAAATTTTAAAAATCAAAAGAAATTTTAAGGATTTTATAATAATTACTAATAAATAAAAATTGAAAAAAAAAACTAAAAAATTAATAATCAAAATTTTTATTAAATAATTAATAATCATTATAAAATTAGTTTAAAAATCTAAGGAAAAGTTTTTTCAAAAAAAAATTGAAAAAATTAATAATCATTATAAAGGAATTAAAACTATTTTCGATTTTAAAAAAATTCTTTATTATTAATTATTTTAAATAATAAAAATTGAAAAAATTATTTATTAATAATTAGTATAAAATCATTAAAAAGTGAAAAGAAAAATTGATTATTTAAATAATAGAATGTTTCTTCTAATTTCTAATAATTTTATATTAATTATTAATTACTATAACTTTAAAAAATTGAAAAAATAATTTTAAAGAAAATTACATTTTTACCTTTAAGTTGACATGTGTCACCACTTGATTGATCAAATGTTAATCGACTAATAAAAATTGATTTTGCACCAACATCTAATAGTATAAGATTTGTTATGAATTATATTTTGATAGACGGATTGTAACGATATTTTTTATACAGTACAGGAGCACGAGGTGTATTTAAACTTTTGTTTTTAGGGTAAATTTTTTTGTTATTTGTGTTGCTTTAAAAAAAAATCTTTAAATTTTTTATTCAAAATCTTATATTTAATCGATTATTTCATATGTTTGCCATAGATTTTCAATTGAAAAAAAAAATACGATTTGTTATTTTGTATGCATTGATTCTTAAATACCGGCCTTTGACACTCTAAATAGAAAATTGAATCCATAATTTTTTTAAAAAACATCTTAATATCTTTTCCATGAGATTGTTTAAAAAAATAAAGTAAAATTAATATAAAAATTGTTTAAAAATTAACAAATAAAAATATAATTTTTTATTTTTATTTAATTCCCTAAGAAGATTATTTTTTTAAAGCACGTAAACACAATAAATATATATTTCTCTCATTTAAAAATCATAAGAATTTATAATATAAACTACATTAATGTATCTAAAAAAATAATCACATTTTAAAATGTTATTCAAAAATTCATATATAGAAAAAAATAAATCATATTATTTTTAAAAATAAAATTATATAAAATAAATTAAAAAAATCAATTGAATGTTTCCATAAAAAACGATAAATTGAAAAAATATCTTAAATTTTGAAAAAAAGAAAATGAAAAATGAAATATAAAATAAAATATATTTTTTAATCGACAAGCTGCATGTAAAAAGAAAATATTATTTTTCATAAATTTAGCACAAAATCAATAATAAAAAACAACAAAAAAAAATGATGAAAAAATACAAAAGAAAGGAAAAAAAAGCCCCAAGTAGCCTACTCCTTAGGCCTGCAAAAGCAGGCCTGAGCCTCTGGGCATGAAGGCCCAAGGCGAAGGCTTGCATAAGCAGGCTCGGTTGGCTTGGAGTGGCAACATATCAGAGAAAACAAAAAAGAGCAGCAGACAATGCATCGTCTGTTGCATCTTTCGGCGAATTTGAGTTTGCCGAAAAAATGAGATTTTGGGTTTTTTGACCCAGAAACGCTTTTTGGTGTATTTTTTCTCCAAGACACTTTAAAAACACCAAAATGAGATCGAAAAACGTGTTTGGAACCTTAAAATTAATTATAATACATATAAAAAAACAAATTAAATTCAAAACTCATAATATTTCGAGATTTCAATCTATTTCTTTCAATTATTTAATACTTTAAAACCATAATAAGCAAACTCAGCTCTTCAAGATAAACAAATTGAATAGAATATCATAGATCAAAGTGATCGAAATAAATCTGAATGACACACACTCTCTCTCTCTCCTTTGTAGCTAGGGAACAAAATGTGTTACAAATGAAGTTGTAGATCAAAAATATTTTTTTGAAAACATTAAGGATGAAAGTGTAAAAAATTCGCATATATTTTCCTAAAAATAGCTCTAAAATCACAAAAAAAAAAAAAAGGTGTTGAGTCCATAGTGCCACCGAGTCCACAACTTAAGTGAATTGAATACTAAACCCTCCAAGTGTTTTTTTTTTAATATACATATTTGTTCTTATATAGTGCTTAAAGTTTTCAATTTGTCTCTAAATTTTTAATTATATCATATTTGTCTTTGAAAATTTTTAAAATATTCAATCTGTTCTTCCAATCAATTTTTTTCTTTTTAACTGAAATGCCTTTTATTAAAAAAAAATACACCTAACGTCACATGACCTATATGTTTCATTTTTTAAAATCTTTAATTTATTATTATTTATTTAATTTATTATTTTTTATTATTTTGCATTTTAATCAAGGCATTCTAGTTCAATTTTTTGTATATTTGGCTAGAAAAATTGATCAGAAAAATATATTAAATGTTTCAAACACTTTTAGATATGAATATAATGCAATTAGAAACCTAAGAATATATAAAAGACTTTATATAAGACAAATGAATATATTTATTCTTATTTTTATTTTGAGAAATACATAATGAAATTAATTTATAGATTTTTATAAGGGTTAAAATTAAAGGTTAAGGAAAGATGACTAAAAGCTACTAGTCCATTGTATATATAAATGAAAAAGGGCAAAAGGGAAAAGAGACGTAAAAAATAAGATGGTACCAATGTTTGACTGCATAAATGCAATAATGGTGATAAAAATAGAAAATAACAAATACCTTCTTGATAAGTTTGTCAAAACGGGACGCAACTCAAACAAAAAAAGGGTTTAGCATGTTAAAGAACCACTCGTTCCAAGAGCTTAATTAAATTGTTAGATAATACATGAAGTATTTTCTGGCAAGTTCCATATTTTACAAATTAAATATGATAAGAAGAAAATGCGTTTAACTCTTGAATTATTATTTCTTTTCTCACCTCTAATACCAACAAATAATCCATCTGTGGATCCTCCTGATCATCTACGACCAACAAATAATCCATTTGTGGATCCTGCTGATGAGGTTTTGCCACTGATAACTGATATTATTTGAAGTCGATTTAATAAAATTCTTTTACGAAGCACAGAATTGTTCATATGGAATGCGATGAGAGAAGTTGGTATTATTCTCTTTTCTAGCCAGAGCAACAAATAATTTGGGATTTGGTAGGTGCAAACTCTCATAGAATTATTGCTTGTATAAAGAAGGAATGAATTTCTTACTTCCTTCTCTGGGGAACAATAATGGATTACTGCGTGAATGTGGTCTACATTCATTAATCGGATAGAGACAGGAATGGGCCTCCAATGCGTATTCATCTCTCGTTGCCTCTTCCTAGTAGAAGTATTTATTTTTGGACAACGATGGCTTGCCAATATAGCTAAAGCATATTTATTTCACAAGCTGAATGGTCTTGTACAAATAATAATAATAATAATAATAATGATAACAAGAAATATTGGTATTCTTTTACAAAGTTGGTTCGAGATTTTTTCTTCTATCATTTAAAGTACCATTACTTCAGTCTTTTTTTTTTTTTTTTTTTTATGATCTAACTGAATTATGTAAAAGGAAACACTTTTTTTATATAATAAAAATAATGAAGTATTACTTAAATTCACAGAAACAGTCACCGTGACATTCTTTCACTCACAACTTTGTTAGCCTGCTTTCCAACAGGAATTGGATCACATCTGAATTAATGAAAGTGCAAATGCGAAGTACGGTCCATAAATTCACTTTGCTTGCTTGTACGTGCCCAATTGTCACAAAAATATGACTGATTATTGGAGAATTAGGTCACTAGTTTAAGTTCACTCTCTTTACAATAAGAAGATTAAGATAAAAAAATAATAAAAAACGAATTTAATTTCGTGTAAGTTTGATTAAGATATCATAAGATTGTTAAAAAATAGAAAAAAAATAGTACAATATATTATATAATTAATAAAATTGTGATCCGCGACTCCTAGTTAATATAGTTGATAAAATATTTGATATTAACATAAGATATTCGAATTCCATTTTTTTCCCTCATTATGTGAAGGAATAGATAGACGAAAATGTTAAATATTTACGTGGGGTTTGATGGATTTGATTATTGTATTCCTTCTATTTACCTTTTTTTTCTCGTTCAATTCATGTAAGGATATCATTTTCTTTTCAATTATAGTTGTATTTAGTATTACCCTGGAAAATGCTTAGACACGTTGATTTTTCATTTATTTATTTTGAAATGGCAACGGTAATCTTACTGTGTCGTTTTGGTCTCACCAATGATTTTATTATTTCGCGTTACAATTATTACAAAAAATTTATGATAAAAAAAGTTACAGAAAATATTAAATTCAAAGAAGCGGCTATTTTTTGTTTTGGGATGGGGGTGGGGGTGGTTGGGGGCGGGCGGGGCGTGGGGTGT